TGTCAAATATATATATACACACACACACACACACACACATACATATATACATACATTGATGTGGATTGCAGATACATTCAGGAGGCAATCAATCCGTGTGTCTCTCACATCCATGTTTCTCTCTCTATATATATATATCCCCCTTCTAATGTCTCAAAAATCAATGGAAAGATATCATTGGGTGGGGATTAACAAAACAAAACAAACAAAAAAAGAGATGAGCTTTCCTTGGGGCTCCTTTAGGGACAGGCCCTGCAATAATTTCCTCACCAAACCAGCTGGCCACACTGGTTAAGAATCCTCATGTTCACTGGTTGTATAATTCTTCAGGGCACTTTAAACTTCAGTGTATATTTTACTACCTCACATATGTCCCAGTGCAGATTAAGGCAAATTACACAAAGACACACATGTGTGCAAGGGCTAGTCTTTTGAGCAAATAGCAAACAACTCTCGTAGATGAGATCCAAAGAGCATCGCTGACAGACCTAAACCACCATCAGCAGGAGAAGCAGTTTTATGGATTACAAAAAAGCACAGAACATAAACTCAGTTTCTAACTTACTAAAAAAAAAAAGATTAGGAAAACAGTGTCCTTCTAGTCGGATGGAGTGAGTTCATGCTCAGCTCCAAAAACAGATAAGAACAAAAGCTTATCTCTGCAGACCGAAGGACAAATTGCGCAACCGTGGCCTTGGCAACAGAGGACAGCGGCGAACCAAGCGCTACACGCGTAGGACGGGCCCCAGCTCACGTGTGATCGATCCTAGAGGAATAAGCCAAGATAAAGAACATGAAGCCGCTTCTAAATGCTGCCTTCCAAGCAATAAAACATAGTGAGTTAGCCTGTCAGACCATAACACCTTCCCCATTTACCCGGAATGCAAACCGAACTGGCCCGTCACCGAACAGAACCACCAGTAATCCCGGATCTAGACATGCGCCGTCTGTGTCCGTGAGCCACACGGACCTGACAGACCAGAGCGTGCGGGAGATGGCGCGGCGCGTCCCGCGCGGACTGAACAAGGAGGAGCTCACACGTACGCCGATCTGGATTCCCAGGCCAACGCGCCCACTCTTCCGGGCGACTGGGGCAACTGACGGAACTAACCGGCCCTCCCCACCTCAGCCCGCGAGAAAATGTGTCAGCGGACCCAATGAGAAGGAAGTGCGAATGTCAACCAGCCCAGCTGAAGGGCCACCCCTGAAACCTACCCCCCAAAGCATAACCTAAAACTAACCTGGAAAAGTGTACTGATTATCCCAATCAGTACACTTATATGAGCAATCCCGAGGATGTGCTCATATAAACCCCATCTGAAGGAAATATATTCAAGAATCCGGTCCGGCGGAAGTACTCACGTAAACTGGGTCCGGCCAAAGTGTTTATGTAAAGAGATTCCGGCGGAAGTGCTCATGTAAACTGGGACCGGCGGAAGTGCTCACCTAAACTGGGTCCGGCGGAAGTGCATCAAAGAATCCGGTACGGAGGAAGTGCTCCCGTAAACTGAGTCCGACGGAGGTGCATCTAAGAATCCGGTCCGGAGGAAGTGCTCCCGTAAACTGGGTCTGACAGAAGTGCATCGAAGAATTCGGTAAACTGGGTCCGGCGGAAGTCCATCGAGGAATCCTGTCCGGAGGAAGTGTTCATGTAAACTGGGTCAAGCCGAAGTGTTGATGTAAATAGATTCCGGCGGAAGTGCTCACGTAAACTGGGTCCGGCGGAAGTGCTCGTGTAAACAGGAAGTGCATCAACGAACCTGATCCGGAGGAAGTTGTCATGTACGTTCGGTTCGGCAGTACATCCAAGGTTCCGGCCCGGCGGAAGTGCTCATGTATATTGGGCCCGGAGAAAATGCACTCATGAAACCTGTCCCCAGGAAGTGTTCACAGAAATTGGGACCGGACTATGCCTGGCAGAAGTGGACCGGGAAACCTGCTTGGCCCTGCCCCTTACCTCCCTATTGCACCCGGTTCCCGCCCGCTCCTCGCGCCTCCTGCTGCCACGCTGCTAATTGTAGAGAGGGTGGCGGGTCAGACAGGCGCTAAGTGAATTGTGCGCCTCAGCGCTGTCTCGCGCCTCTTCTGTGTATACTGTTGCAGTTTATTTCAGGAGACAAGAGTAGTACGGAAAATAAGAAATTTGTTCCAAAGAAGCAAATATTTAAGAAACTTCGTCTACATAGACAAGTGCAAGCGAGATAATTTGCAGGCTTCATGCAAAATAAAATGTGGAAGCCCTTGGTTAAAAACATCATGTTAAAGGTATTAAACTATAAAACCTTTTTTACCCCACCCCACATATTCCCTTGATTTGTCATGTTTTTGTTATTTAATGTCATTTGAAGTAAAAGAAAATTTTAAAAGATCACTGAGTTTTTCTATTCACCTTTATATTGTGCAATGCCAGTTTAAACGGAAATATAAACACATTTAACTTGTATATAGAAACATAAAAATTATGGACAATTCATAACTTGAGGCTCCCAAAACGGGACAGGCAAAAGTAGGTTTACAGTTGTGAGTATGCAAGCTTATTTTTGTATTATTTGTATTAGAACTATAAACCTACTTTTGCTTGCCCCATAACCTCAGTGGACATGCTGTACACTTGAACTCACACTTTTAATTTTGTACATACAAAAGCACCAAAGAAATAAGACTCAAAGGCAGTTGAGGCTTGTCTGTCATCCTGAGCTGAGGAATGGGAGGGGGGAGGTGGCGTGGTGCTCCAGAGGAAGTGATTCCCAAGAAGTTAAGGGCAGATGTTTGGTTTTCAGAGGGTTGCCCTACCATACATAAAAGTTAACTTTCTTCATAGCTCTCTTTCTAGGACAGGCCCCCAATAAAAATTTTGCATAGTTAAGGGAGAGGTAAAACTTTTTCCTGAGTCTGCTGGGTTTCAATTTCCTTCAGCTCAAAATAATTCACATGCCAAAGTGGCCCGTGGGGCACTTTGGCATGTGAATTACTTCTTTCCCCTTCATATTCTGAGCCTGTGAACTCCCAAGACTCACGGGCCCACTGAAATTTGTGCCCATGGGGAACATCAAGAGGGGAGCAAAGAAATATAGATATGTCCTCTGCTCAAGTACATGCCCCATTTTCCTATTTAATTCACTTAAGCACAAGTTTAAAGATAAAATTGGGAGTCCTGGCTGGTGCTTCTCAGTGGTCACAGCTTCAGCTGGAGCATCGGTCTCAGGTTTGAGTCCCAGTCAAGGGCATGCACCTGGGTTGCAGGTTCAGTCCCCAGCCCAGACAGTCGGAGCATGTTCGAGAAGCAACCAATTGATGTTTCTCAATGCCTCTCTCTTCCTTTCCCCTCCCCCACCCTACCTCCCTTCCACTCTAAAAATCTATGGGGAAAGATATCCTTGGGTGACCATTAATAAAAACAACGAAGACAGAATGCGTTTTAAGGCTGGGACAACAGCATTAAGCCAAGCTCAGGGCCTTCTGGGCACTCAGGGATGTGGTGACAGCAATCACCACCTTTAAGGTGAGACCTGCACATGAGTCACTGGGGATACGAGGAAGGCAACTGTGGAGATGCCTCAAACAGGTGATAAAGGTTGGGAAAATCCCACCTGAAATACAAATCTTATCAAACACAGGGGAAACTGTATTGTGGGAAAGCCTATTTCAGGACAAGAGAGAACTCAAGAGAACTGTAGTTCTCACCATAGTAAGTGTGAGAAAACCTACTTTTGTTGCTCCCCTGAAACTCTCCGCCACAGTGAAGAATACAGGAAAGCTTCTATCGAAAGCACTGGCCTTGCCCAGCATTTGAGAATCCAGAGGAAAGAAAGTCCTCATATGTGATGACAGTGGGAAAGGTTCCAGGTGGCTCAACTCTAAGAAGCTACCAGATTGCCCTCATGACTGCACACTGGCAGTTTCATTGAGGATTCAGTAATAAGACGCCCTGGACATGAGCAAGAGAAGCTTGAAGGTCGTGTCCTTTGGACACGGCAATTTTTCCAAAGCCAAACCTTGGAATGGAGATGATCCTTTAGACAAGCAGTCCTAAAACTACTCTGCAGTGGGCCAGGCCTCCTTGGGTACTGGCTTAGTGTCTACGGATGAGCAGCTGAATCCGTCTTTTCACCTCATAATCTTATAACTGTTGACAAGTTGCTGAACTCCTTTTAACTCAAAATTTTCTTCAACCAAATGAGGATAACCACTACTCTATCATTCACCAGGGCATCACAGGGTAAATGGGAACACGTGCAAGGAACATAGAACCGATGCACTTCTGTGCTGGTCTGAAGTTTCACAGCCTTTGTTTTTGGTTCCAACTCCCTCTGCCCGCACTTTTCAGTGGCCAGTTGAGAGGCCCCGCACTGCAGTCTGTCCATCCAGCCCAGGAAGATGTCCACAACCCCCAGCACACACGGCAGGAAGGTTCCGGTCATAGGACTGCATCCATCTCCTCCAGATCTAGGTTCCCTCCCACTTGAACACATTGCTCACCTCTGCCCCCACCTCTTGCCTCATTTCCTTCCACTCCCCCTTCCTGTTGGAATCTCTGACTCCCACCTCTTGCCTTGGGTGTACTTCCTGGCACAACCTGGAAGCAGATTACACCCTACTTGTCGGAAGGCCACCTGCCGAGTCCCCTCACACAACCTTCCGGTCTGTCCTGTTGCAGAGAAGCCTTGTGCAGAACCACTACGTGGGGCTGAGGATCACCCTCACCCTGAGTCCCCCCCACTCTGTGGTCATGGTTATTTTCTAAGGCCCTTCTTCGTCCTTTCTCCACTGCTGGACTAACCTATTTACTCGCCTCCCCAAACTCTGGTCTTCTGGATTGGCAGCCCAGCCTCTCAGAAAGCAAACAGAGGACAGAACACAGGCAGGATCACATATGAGAGGACCAGAGGGAGGAAAGAGACTCTGATTGTTCTGTCACGCACCCTACCCAGGATTCACTTTGCATTCAATGTTTCCCACATTTTGCTATTTCCTTAGCATTCCATAGGAATTTAAGTTCCTCACATTAATAGGCTTTCCCTCTTGTGAATTCTCTGATGTTGGCTGAGGTGCGAGCTCTGATTGAAGGCTCTTCCGCACTCATTGCACGCATAGGGTTTCTCTCCAGTGTGGACTCTCAGGTGTCGAATAAGGTGTGAGCTCACCCTGAATGTTTTCCCACACTCACTGCACGCATAGGGTTTCTCTTTGGTGTGAATTCTCTGATGCAGGATGAGGTGTGAGTTCAGGCTGAAGGCTCTTCCACATTCTTTGCATTCAAAAGGTCTCTCCCCAGAGTGGATTCTCTGGTGTCTAATGAGATCTGATCTCCCCCCAAAGCCTTTTCCACACTCGTTACACTCATAGGGTCTCTCTCCAGTGTGGATTTTCTGGTGTCTAGTAAGCTTTGAGCTGTGCCTGAAAGCTTTCCCACACTCACTACATTGATGGGTTTTCTCTCCGCTGAAAACTGCTGTCTGTTTAATAAGGTTTGAGTGCTTGAGAGATTTTCCACATTGGGGAGTTTTTCCTCCAACATAAATTCTTTGATGAATAATAAAACCTGAATTCCACTGGAGACTTTGGTCATAGGTCCTGTGTTTACAAGATTTGTGATGTATAAATTCATTTGGGTTCAGGTTTATGCTTCTGTCACATCCATTGTGACTTATTATTTCACCTGGAAGTATATTTTTGTGGGTGAGGACTTTGCTAAAACCTCCATCCTGAGCAGACGATGGTCTCCGGGACTCCCCAGGCTCATTTTCCTGTTGCTGCTTTATCTGCCCTGCAGACTTGAGGATGTCCCAAGGTTCAGCAGACTCCTCTGATGCAAATGTCGAAGGCTGTCCTGATACAATTCTCTGTGAACCTGTGTTTTCATGAACGTCCAGACTTGACAGAGACTCATTGTTTTCACTCTCATTATCTAAAATGACAATAATGACAGAAGAGGTTTGCTGAGCTGGAAAAAAAAAATTGTTCAAATACACTCAAGATAGTTACAAATTGATACTTCATTTGGCCATTCCAAAAACGTGGCCTTTCACATAAGTACAACCAATGGACATAAAACTCTGGGGAGGGAGGGAGGGGGGGCAAAAAAAAATATATATATATATTAAAAAAAAAAATACTGAAGAAAGGACCTCTTTTCCACTATTTCAAATACTTAATAGCTAGTTTCATAACATCACATGTACCATTTTAAGAAAGTGATGATTTAGTGGGAAATTAGTGCTTTGAATTTGTATACTGTAAATATAAATGACGATTTGTTTGAAATGTGTAACTTTGATACGCAAAAGATAATAACTCACAATGTTAATATTAAATATTCCTTCAAAATAAAAAAAATAAAAACCAAAAAATAAATAAATAAATAAATAAAATTTTTTAAAAAAAAAAAAAACAACAACAACAACAAAAAAAAACGTGGCCTTTCAAATGGGAGGCATGAACCACAGAAGAACAAATCAGAACAAGCCAGTCCTGTGTGCGGTGGTTGGCAGAGAGGAGGCACACACCAGGATGAGCAGACAAAACAAGAGTCTGGGAAGAGGATCCTCACCAGCAAGAACAGGAAGGGAAGACAAAATAGGAACAAAGAACTGAGCGATCGAGGGGGACTCTGGATTGAGGATGCACGGCAACGGTAGGCTTAGAGAAAGAAAGGGCGGCACAGTCTTCAGAGAAGGCAGAAGAGGATGCAGATGGGTGAGAAGAGTCAAGTTATAAATGACTCTGGAGGGTGCGTACATGGAGCTGAAACATCCATCCACCCACCCACCCACCCACCCACTTCTGGTTGGCCAAGAAAAGGACCGCCTGCAGTATTGGAACTTCAGTCTAAGCAGGGAAGGGCCCCTGTCCCTCCCTCTGAGGACATGACTTTACCGAAGTCCCGTGGGAGAGGGCATCCTGAAGAACCCTGAAGGTCTTTGGTGTCCGCTGGCTGGAGCTGGTCAGTCAATGCTGGTCCAGGAGGTGGAACCTTTCTCCTGAGTATTTCCTGCCCGTGCCCAGGGACTGGAACCTGAAAGAAATAAAGTGCATCTGGATTTATGAGAGCATCACTGTTGGAACTAAACATTTCCCCCAAACAAAGAGAACCTCCTGTAGGAACACAAAACCAGGGAAGGAAGAAACAAGCCTGACTCAGTGGTAAGATATGACACAGAAGCAAACAGAGAGCAAAGGAGACATAAATGCATCCCGGACGAGGAGCTCAGACCTCCCACTGTGGGATGCCATCCGTCCTGGAGGCCTTAGCTCACCCATCGTCTCTGTACCTGGAGCACAGCTTCACCGCTGTCTCTCTCATCTTCCAGTGCTGTCACCACCTCCTCCCCACTCCGCGGGCACTGCTCTCGCACCAGGGCCTGCAGCTCCACGGGCAGGATGCTCAGGAGCTGCTCCAGCACCAGCAGCTCCAGCATCTGCTCCTTGCTGTGCGTCTCGGGCTGCAGCCACAGACCACAGAGCTCACGGAGCCGGCACAGTGCCTGGCGGGGCCCAGGTGCTTCGTGGTAGCTGAAATGCCTGAACAGCTGCCGGCACAGCTCCTGCTTGAGAAAATCACTTTTCTCTGAGCAAGCGTCCTGCCCCCAGACAAAATCTTCCTCCTCTACCTTCACTCTCAGAAGCCCTTCATCCTCCTGAGGATTCTGAGCTGCAGCTTTCTTGGACTCTGTCATCATCTTGGGTTTGAATGATCACAAAACCCACTTCTGCCTTGAGAAGGGTCTTTTTAGTTTCCTGGGGGATAGAGGGGAAAATACTATTATTGTCTGGAAGATGAAAGACCACATTATGAAACTAGTCATTTTCTAGTACACAAAGAGGTACTGGGCATTTACTATATGTAAAAAGGCTGAAATGCCTGCTTTGGGAATACAACTGTTACAAAATTCTTACCTTAAAGCAGTTTAACACTCAAACTTAAAAGCAAGATAATTTAGGAAGTATTTGAAATCCCACCCTTCACATATGCCATAAGTTTGGCTCAAATAAACTCAAAAAAAAAAAAAAAAAAACGACACCAAGGTAATTTAAATGAGAAACATTTAAATATAATATAAATACAACATAATACTGAATGTTAACATGCTACATGCAGTTCAATTATTTCTAAGTTATACAGACAATAAGGACCAGGGAAAAATGATAGAAGAGCTTCGGAAAATTGCTTTTAAATGGCCAACACCACAGAGGAAAATGCGCTGTCCTTCTCACTGGGTGACCAAGGACCCCCTGCAGCCCTTGGGACAGTGAGAAGAGTCCCTGTCCCTGCCCTCCAGGGACATGCCCTCCCCGACGCCCAGGGCGAGGGGCGTCTGCAGAGGTGCACGGGCAGGGGGTGGCTGATGGCTGCTGCTCACACCGGGCATCGCCCGGCAGGCGTTCCCTCACTTCGCACCCATTGAAAAGTCACCACTCAGGGAGCAATACCCAGTCCGCGGGGTCGGATGGTGCTTGTCCCACTGGCCCGAGCTCACACACCAGCCACGCGCAAATCGCGAAGCCCGCGTCGGGGAGGAACCGCGAAGCCGACTGCGGGAAAGACCGCCGGGCCGGAGGGGGCGTCGCCGCAGCCCCGCCCTCGGGACTCGCTTCCTCGCAATAATCGCGAGAACAATTGTCTACGCGAGGGCGGTGGCGATTCCGGCAAGAAGCAGGCGCTCGGGGCGCGCTGCGAGCGGAAGCGCGGAGCCGGAGCAGGCATCACCCCCGCGGTGTCCCCACAGCCAGGCCACTCCGCGCCCGGGAGCCCCGGAACCCGCGATGCAGGGCGGCCCGCCCCTCCCGGCCACGCCCCCGCCCCTCGGGAGGCCCTAATGTGCGCTGAACTGTGGAAACCACAGGCTCCACTGCAAGGGGCGGGTGCGGATGCCCTCCGGACGCAGAAACTAGTTCCACCTTCCCGAGGGAACACGGCGGAGACAAAGGGCTGGTCACCCGGATCCCCAAGCCCGGACTTACCTTTCCCACGGGACTGGTTCCGATCGGACACTTCCGCTGGAAGGACAACGTCGCGTCACCTGTTCACTTTTCCGTCTGAGTCTGCGCGGAAGACACGCCGCTCGGACTCCATTTCCCAGCATCTCGGTCCGGGTCCTGGCCTGGGGCTCCTGGCGCATGCGCAGGGCCTCCGCCGCAATCCGGGGCGGGGAATTCCAGCCCCGCGTGACGGGCACCGCGCTCACGTCACCTTTGCAAAGCCTCCCTGGACTTTCCCGGACCCCCGACGAATCTCCAAGCCCGGGAACAACGGGATTAGTTACAACCCCTGCTTTTCCTCGTATTACTTTAGTTTTACTTTGTATCTTTTTTATCTGTCATTGTTTTGATAATGTGTCTAAGCATTTACAGGTTTTCAACTTCAAATTCACCATTATGCAAAGCAAATTCACCCTTTTGCAAAATTCTCCGTTTCTTCCAGTATTTTTTTTTGCGAAGGTCATTTGGAGGCTGTGGGCTCACATCCTCCCGTTGACTGTGTTGTTATAAACTCTTGCTCTGAACCGTCCCTGGTGGACTGAATACTTTTTCTTTTCAGCTACCCCCTTGTTTCTTTTCTGCACTTTCAGCTTACTGCGGGAGCATTCCCTTCTCTCCAGTCTATAGCCATGTCCTTTCTCTTGTTAAAGATCATTATCTTCTGACTTTCCACCCACTTATAGGCTTTCTACTTCAAATTCATCCTTTTGCAAAGCTAATTTACGCTTTTGCAAAGCAAAATTTTCTACTAAAATAATTTCTACAGCTTTGTAATAAAAATAAATCTTAAGCAAAGTTGTTAAATTTTTTATTGCATGAATACTGGCATAGTAATAAACATAAAATACTTTTAACGTCAGAAATATTATTTACTTATGTCCCTTATAATGGTTCTCCCGCCACCGCTTGTAACAATTTCATATAGATATTCATAAAGTAATTGGCACTTCCTTCAAACCATGCACGTTTAACGGATGTTATTGATCATTCTGTAGCGACTATTACTCCAGAAGATTGTCACAATTGCCTGACAACATTAAGAGTTTACTTGAGGTATGTGGGTGTATATTTACAATGAAATTGAGTTTTATCCAGCTGCATTAGGAGCGGCACGGGGTTGACAAGATGTGATACTGCAATGTTGGCTAAGGAAGATAAAGAAGGAGAGTATTGAGGCAAGTAAGAAAAAGTGGTAAACTCAATGGGTGGGAGAGGTGCGATGGTAAAGAGTAAGTCAGCCGGGAAAATAAAAGTTGTTGCTTGTCAGGGATGTTAGAAACTGGGATTATGAAGAGGATTCAGTTGGTCAAGTCAGAAGTTTAAGCATTACCCATGAGTCAGTCCTTTTCCTAATTGTTTGCATGGGATAAATACTCCGTGGGTTATCCTCCTCGTGTCTCGTTATTTTTTGAATATGTTTTTACTTTCCATTGCCACGGCTCACCCATGATACTACAGTGATTTCCTAATTTCTCTCTTAGCCAAAAGCCTGTTCCCCTCAAATTTATTCCCACATGCCAGTGCTAATGCTGGTACAAAAGTGTAAATCTGTTAATGGCATATCCCAGTTTCAACCAGAGCAGGGACTCACTTCTGCCCAAGCCCCCCACTGCAATCATTGTAAAGTTTAAACTGTTAATAGGGCTCACAGCTCCCTGCAAAATCACCCCAAGAAATGAAAAACTTTCTTCACATTTTATTTCATTTGAGATTTATCTGTTTAGGCATTTTCTATACTGTAATATGTACCTTTGCATGAACAGACCATAGGGCACTAATCAGGTCTCTTACTGATATCCATTTAGGTGCTTTCCAATTCTCTGCTATTACAAGTAAAGCAAACATAGCATTCTAGTTAACTCTTGAGTATATGTGGGAGACGTTTTCTATATGTATGAAATTTATCAGACACAGTGATGAGGAAAATAAAATATGGGGGGGAGGAGGGGAAGACTTAGCAGCCTGACTCTGTACCTAGTTGATCAATATCCCTAATGCACATTCTTATTAGCATGTAATCAAGTCACTACCCCTTCCTTAATTATCTGGTCTTGCAAGACCTATTGACCTAAATACTCACATTTTACTCATTAAACCATAACCATACCCAACCCCCAGGTTGGGCTATCAGCCCTGGCGCCAGGCCAGGCCTTAAGGTGTGGTCTCACAGCCCCCATCCCAGCACACGAGGCTTTTTGCAAAGCCCCCAGAAGGTCTGGAAGTCTGAACCATATTTGAGGGACAAAGAAAACCAAAGGGTATAAAGGGAAAGCTTCCTTTCTATTGGCTCGCTCAGGATTTGGACACAGGCTCCCCTGAGTCATGGTCCTAGTGCATCTAGACATGAATGGGTTTTCCTGTATATCTGAGCACTCCTGTGTATTGTTCAGTCACCTGGTAAATTCTGCAACAACAGTATATGTGAGCCTTCAAGTTTATTATATATCACCTGTTTTGAGAGATTTATATTTCTCCATTTTATTTTTAAATTACATATACATACTGGTCAAAAACTAAGAAATATGTACTAATGGCAGAGATACATGAAGAAGAAATATAGTATAGCCACCACTTTATTGTCCAAGTGAAGTCAATACTTTTGCTCTCAGAATTTACTCCTTCTAAAATTACTTATTCCTATTTTTGTTTCAAAATGTCCTTTGAAAAATGTAGTGAGTCTTTCCAGACCTCCTTTACTGTACTCTATACATTAACTGATAGCGTCAACAAATATTGATGACCTATATGTGAACACTTTGTAAGCAGCAGGGCAGTGAACACAATACTGATGGGAAGTGAAAACATCAGAGTGGAAGCAAGGAGCCACTAACAAACACAAGAGACTGAGAAGGCCAGCTCTTCTCCATGCTCCACCTAGGTCCCTGCTGGGTAAAATGCCATCCTGATGGGAGGGATGATGCTCCAGGGACTTGGGAAAGTTGGGCTTTGGTGGTGCAGAAGATACTGCTGGGTGAACCCCAGGGCGGTTGAGAGGCTCTGAGGCTGACTGGTGCCTGCCCCACTCACTCCCAGGACAATCAGCCCTTAATCAAGGGTCTTCCTCTGAGACAGATAACCCCAGAGATTGCTCCATTTTATGAACTATAGTGAAACCCATCAGGAACTTTTAATCGCCGAACACCTGCAGAGTACAGGTTAATGAGTTCTACTCTTCTTAGGGCGAGTTCCCCTGTGGACATAGAGAAGACAAGCTGGTTTTATTCACAGCTCCTTGTTAATCATTATTCTAATGAGATCTCTACGGTTTTGTTCTTCCAAGTTCCCTAAAGAACTGCAGAAGTTGGAAATTGCTCTTCTGACACCTTAGTTGTAGATATTACTCACTGACTACATCATCCGCAATCTCTTAGGACTCCCCACAATTACCCAGAGGGAATCAGTGAGTCAACGTGACCATGGTTCAATTTTACCAGAAAGCAGAAATGGCCCTAAGAAAAACTGCTTTTGTCAATAGAGCCAAGCATTTCTCATTACTCAGTTTATCCAATCTAAATTTCATCCATCCTTTCTCATCCCTATAACCTAACTGTCAGGGTAGATAGGTCAATTGTTCAATGAATGGACAGACAGACTCTATTTTCTTTTCACTTAGAAAATGTGTGTGTGTGTGTGTGTGTGTATGTGTGTGTGTGTGTGTGTGTGTGTGTGTGTGTGTGTATGTGAAAGAGAGAGAGAGAGA